TTTGGAAGGGCGCATTCGGGCGCAATTTCTCTCGGCATATGCAGACTTGGAGCAGCGGCGCTTGTTCGAGCCGCTCCGAGCAGAGATGGCCCTCCGTTATTGCATCCTGCCTGCTGGCGCTGCAAATGTCGCACATGTAGCAGAAATTGCGCTGCGCCGGCGATGGCGCAATCGACCCTGGCCCCTCCAGCTGCGCTGGAATGCCCATGGAGGGTTGCCATTCGGGACAGAAGCCGCATGGGGCGAGCATTCCGTGGAGCATTCGTCTTGCTTTAGTCGGACAGCTCGCGGTCAGCGCGCGGGCGCGCCCCTCCGGAGCTCGCGCGCGACGCGGCGCCCCTTCTCAGAGCTTTCGCTGCTTTGCGGGAGTTTCCGCCGGGGCGCGCGCCGTCTCGGGCGATTCTTATTCTGGGGCGCTCGTCAGCTGATGTATAGCTCTAGCTCTCTCATCGACGACTTTTCGGCATGCGCGAGAGACGCGGCGTCGGCGCGGGCGGGGGCAGATTACGCCGTGGAGGTGCCGGCACGGGCACGCGTGATTTCGCGCGTCCGACGGCTTCAGCCAATGAGGGCGCCCATGCAACAGAAAAGCCACAATGCGCAGTTCGACCGCGAGAAAGCACAGTTCCCCTAACAGATTCCCACGCGCGTCGATCGCCGGCAGAAGGGTTTTCATCTTGGGATTGGCGGCTACTCCCTATTCACCAGATAGGAGATCTCTCCGCGCGCGCGTCGCACGTGCCCGCGGCTGCTTCTGAGTCGGCTATCCCCGAACAGTTTTAAACGACGCATGAGCGGTTGGAGAAGACGCCCCCGTCCCGGGCCAAGGCGATATCTGATCGCGCACGCGATGCGCCGCTTGATGATGGCTCTGCCCGGCCGCGCTGCCGCGGTAAAGGGCTGCTTTGGTTGCGATGCCACGACGGACGCGAAGGCATGCGCTTGGACATGGGATCCCGCTCCGTCACCGCGTTCCGCTCCTTGCTGAACCCAGGCCCCGCGCCCGCGGCGATGCGCGGGACGGGCGTCGAAGCCGGGCTCCGCGCGCGCTGCAGGGGAAGCGGCGCGGGCGTTCGCTCCAGACCAGGCCGGGGGGAGGGGGGGGTCCAGCGGCCTTCGTTGGTCTGCCTAGTCTGGTCTGGGCTTCGCTTGTTTGCGCGGCTAGCTGGCCTCCGTGGTCCCGTTAGTCCACCTGGCCAGTTTGGCTGGCTGGTCTGACTAGTCTGCGTGGTCCAGGCAGGTTTATCTTCTTAGTCACGTCAGTGCTTCGATGGTTCGCACGGCTGGCTGGCCTGGTTGGTTTGTTTAATCAACCTGGCAGGCTTGCTTGGTCTACTTGGCTGGCATGGCTGGACGGTCTGGCTAGTCTGCTTGGTCGTTGCAGTCGTCGCCCCGCACTTCGCGTCGCCGGGGCCGGGGCCAGGGCCGAAGGCGCCGTTGCGTCGCGTCGGGCTGCGGCGGAAAGGAAGGCCGGCATGGGGGGGCATGAGCACAGGAGACAGTTCTCATGATAATTGGGGCATGAGACCTTTGGCATGAGCTCCCGCGTCAGTCCCCAGTAAGCAATGCGCTGGGGCATGATATCTTTTCCCATCTGAAAACTAAGGGCAATCATCTCAGCGCGTTTAGTGGGCATTGGGACTGCGCGTTCTTGTGGGTGAAAGCTTTGCTTGAGTCGCCCAGGTTTGCTTCCTTTTTCAGGGCGCAAGTAGGACGCCGCGGTGACCTCAAGTACGACGTGGGAGCGCACCGCAGCATGGAAAGAGGTGATCCTAAACCAAAGCGACGAGTGGCTTTACGACAAGCGCCGCAGACAGTGCCTACAAACGACACGCAGGGACATATCATCAGCGGAAAAAAGGCCGTTCAACCATGTCCGAAGCGAAGGGGTCTGTAGCGACTGGATCCAAAGAGGCTCGCGCCATTGAAATGGCTGCCAATAGCAGCGCCCAAACAGCTTCCGGAGGAAAAAACAACAGGACCGACTGATAAATCGAGCGGGCGCAAGTTCTACGAAACATGAGCGTTGGAAGGCAAGCGCTCCAAGCCGCGGTGCGAGGAAAGGCGCGAACTCACGTGCTGGAGTCACAAGATTGGGTTTTGCAAGCACCGGGGCAAGCGCAGCATTGCATTGCACGCGCAGGGAACCGCGGAGATGCGGCTGAAAGAGGTTCACCCAACAGGTGACTCCCCATAACGCTCGCCCTCAGGATGCCGCGTTGGCCGTAGTGACGAGGCGCCGAAAAGTCCGCCTCAGCTCCCAAACGGGGAAAAGAAACACCCCGCAAGCCCGAGACAAGGCGCGCGGGGAGGCAGTTCCCAAGGGGGTGACTAAAGACTGCAGGGGTAGAACCCCGCCGCCGAAGCTGGCTCGCGGATGACGGCGGTCGGCTGCGAAGGTCTCAGGGCGTGCGCGCTCTAATCGGCCCGCGGTGGCGCGTGTTCTCCGGCGTCCAAAGATCTCGCTTTCGAGGTCGCCTTCAACCCTTCCGCGCCGCCCTTCTTTCGAGGCAAACGGAAGGGCATGGAGCGTTGATGGCGTGGTGGCGGGGGGGGGGGGGGCGGCGGGGCGGGCGGGCGCTTGCGCCCGCGCGATTGGGCAACGCGTCGCCGCGCGCCCCGCGCCGATGTCTGTCTCCAGCGCGCAAGGGCCACCCAACGCTGTAAAGACTGTGCAGGGCAACCCATCGCCAGGGTGATTCAAAATACTTTGACGCGCCACGATCTTCGCGCCGCGCTCCACCCGCAGTTACACCGGGTGTCGTCGCGGCGCTGCAAAATTGTTATGGTGGTTTGTGCCCGGGCCGATGGCACTGTTCGGCGTGAGTTTGCTCGATTCGTGGTCAGTCTTATTGCGCAGTACATGGCGTTTCAGTCCCCCTAGCCGTTCGCAATCAAGAAGCAATGCGTTTTAGGAGTCGCGCGCTCGGCAGGCACGTGGGTTGCATTGGCGCCCGACTGTCGATCGAGACTCGGGCAGACTACATCAGGTCTTGCCTGCGCTCGCTCCTGAAGAGGTGCCGCCCGAGGGTGTCTGGGGCCAACTACCTTGGACGCAGGTCCCGATGGCGCTTGCGCCTCCGAGAAAGCGAGAATCGAGGCTGCAGGACGGCATTCTGCAGTGGGGCAAATTGTTGCTGCGAGGTTGGCCTTGCGCACGTCGAGTTCTTTGGCTTCGCTTTGGGATTTTTTCTGTTGGCGTCGCACATGTCCATGTTTGGCCGCTCTGTCGTCTCATTATTTCGCCTCTCTCGTCTCGTTTCCTTTTGCGGTTGGGTCCGCGTTGCAGTGTTGTGGGTCTCCAGTTTATGTTTTCTGGCACATGGGCACCGCCCTTTTTTAGCTGAAGCCTTGCCTTGTGCAGCTTCTGCATGACCTTCCTGCAGTGCGACATCACCCGGTGATCCAACCCCGCAGAAGATAAAACACCGCGCCCCCAACGTGGCCGCCCCACCCTGCAGTGAGGGGGGACGCAATCCTTTGCTTTCGCCGTCTCCCGTTAAACTTGCGTTCGTTGTCGCTTTTGGAGCCCCAGGGGTGTTCTCCCATTTTCTTTTCTTGGGCGGGGTCCCTGTTCTGGGTGCTCAGGCGGGGGGCGCGTCTGACCCCTTCGGAGTTGGCGCGCGTTTTTTGTTTCAGCGGTATTCTCGTCAGTGCTTTGGGAGGTCGTGCGTCCGTCCGGCTCCTCCCCCGTGCCGCTCTTCCTTGCCCCCTTTTGTTGTCGTTGCCGCTTCCGCTGGCCGCGGCATCTTGTGTGCTTCGATATGGTCGGGAAGAAGGGCGCGCCCGCGCGCGCGCGCCTTTCAGTCGTCGCGAGGAGCGCTTCCAGACCGTGTTGGTTGTGAGTTGTTGTGTGTCAGGTCGTTCTCGCGAGTCGCGGCTGACGCCAATTCGCAAAGCTGACGGGGACCTGGTGGGGGAATAGGCGGGGCCCTCTGATTCGATTGACCTGGCGACTTTGACCCCATCTCCCGTTTTTTTGCTGCGTCACAGTCATGATGCGCTCCTCTTCCTGCCTGTCTGCCCGGTTGCCGGGACTGCGTGTCCCATACGCCTGCCCTCTTAGAGGACCGCCCCATAGGGGCTGGAATGTGGGTCGCATCGCACCGCGTCGCACCCCCTCTCCGCCTCTTTCCTCTTTCCCCATCCCCCATCCCCCCTCTCCGCCTCTTTCCTCTCTCCCCTGCCCCTCTCTGTCCCCCCCACCCCGTCCTGCCCCTAGACAGCCAGGGCGCCCAGACAGGAACCGCCTGGTTGTTGGGGAAGCTACGTCTGTGGCCGAGGCTCGCCGTGGCAGGCCATGCTCCCCACCAGGCGCTCCTCATGGCAGCATACAGTCGGGGCGCTCGAGAAGGAACCTTTTTCGTTGGGCAGGGGCTCGGTGTTCCTTGATGGCTTAACAGTTTGTCAGAGGTTATCCTGAGGTTGTCCATGGGAAATCGAAGTTTAACTTATGGGGATAAGGGGCCTCGTTCCTTATTTGGATTCCTTAGGTCAACGCCCCGACTGTAGCCCCTTCGGTCCCCCCGGGTCTTCGGGTGTGGCGCGACGGGGTGGGCTTCCGAGAACGCGCGGTGCTTCAACGAGGGCTGGCGGATCCCGCAACATGGCTTGACGGCCTCGGACCAGGCTTCCCGGGTGCCAAGGGGCATATAAATAAAGTGCCGCGCGCCTGCTTGAAAGCCCCCCTCTGCCTAATTCAAGCTTCGCGCGGCCCGCTTAGCTTCGACCGGAAGAGGTGCGCCCTCGACCCGCGGATCAAAAATTGCTTGAAAGCCCCCCGCCCCCCGCCTCCTTGGAAGGCCGTTCGCCTCGCGCCTCCCCCTTTGTGGGCGCCGCCAGCCTCAGCCCCTTGTGTGAGCGAAGCCCCCTCCCCAAAGCGGCTCTCGCCGAGGCGAGGGCGCGCAGTTGTGCCTCTTGGCGCTCGCCCGGCCTCGAGGTAACGTGTGGGCTACAACGTGCGCTCATGCAAATTGGCAAGCCCCCCGGGGCCGCTGGAGGAACAAGATCCCCGACCCGCTGCGCGTGGTGGACCCGGGCAAGGCCGCCGAGGCAGGCCCGCCGCGCGCCCTACCGTGCGCGCCACCGCCCGGATCCCGGACCGTTTTTGGGGCCGCCGAGCTGCGCGGTGACCACGCCGTGTGGTGAGTCAGGGGGGGGGGGACGGAGTGATTCGGTGACCACACCATCCTGGGACTCAGGGCGTTGTCCGAGGATGTCTCTGGGCTCAAGGGGAGCCTCCAAGAAGTTCCAGAGCTGTCCGGGACGCGAAAACGACCACAGCCACTGCTTTTCTTTTGTTGCCGCCTTGCAGCCAGCAGGAACAGAGCAGTGGTTGTGGTCATGCTCGTTGAGCTCGGCACCAGGGAGATGACCAGAACCACTGCTTTTTTCCGGCCGGCTGGAAGGCGGCGCAAACAAGAAGCAGTGGTTGTGGTCATGTTCCCGTCTCGCAGATTCGGTGACCACTCCATTCTGAGACTCAGGGCGTTATCCGAGGATGTCTCAGGGTTTAAGGGGAGACTCCAAGAGGTTCCCGAATTGTGCGGTGACGGGCCGTGGGGTGAGGTCTTTGGCGTTTTCGAGGTCACCGCACGGTCGATCGCCGTACTATGTCGGGGCCCCAGAGATCGCCAGGAGTGGGGAGGAGGGGCCCAGATTTCGTTGTGGAGTACCAAAAATTACGGCTGGTGTTTGATCATGTTGTGCCTCGCCTTGGCCGGGCTCTCAAGAAACGGCCCACAATGAAATGCTTGCCAAAAGGTAATGGTCCAGACATCCTGTTACGTTGCTTCTTCGGGGGACATCGTCTGTTCCCCAAATTGGTGTATTTTCTTCTGTCCGACGCGGGCTCGATCTGAACTCGACGCGGATTTGGCGTAGATTCGGCGCGGATTCGACACGGATTCGGCACGGATCCGACGAGGCCGACATGAATTTGACACGGATTCGACGCGGATAGGGCCGCGACGGGAAAGACAGGGTCCCCCGAGGATGCGACATAAATCTTGGGAGCCACACTGCGGAACAAACGCGACGTCGGATGGGTGGGGAGGGCGGAGGAGTGAGGGGCGAGGGGAGGCGCAAAGAGGGAAGGGCGGGAGAACAGAAGCGTGAGCAGGAACGAGGGGGAGCAGCTGCAGAAGGAGCAGGACAGGGCGACGGCGACGGCGGTGGTGACGAAAAGGAGAGGGAGGAGGAAGAGGACCAGCTGATGATGATGATGATGATGATGATGATGATGATGATGATGATGATGTTGATGATGTTGATGATGATGATGATGATATTGATACTGGTACTGATACTGATACTGATACTGATACAGGTACTGATGATGATAATGAAGATGATGATGATGATGATGATGATGATGATGATGATGATGATGATGATGATCATGATGATGATCATGATGATACGGATGATTATGATGGTCAGCATGTTCATGATCATGATCATGATGCTGATCATGACCATGATGCTGATGATGATGATGATGATGATGATGATGATAAGATATGGTTACATTTGTCTTCCGTCACACGCCCCCTCTCATGGGAAGCTGTAGCGCGTCTTTTGACCGTCATTTTTGCGGGTCCAGGTCAGTCAGTTTCGGTCCTAGGCTAGGGAGGTTTACTAAGGGGAGGTTTGTCCACCGCCGAATGTTGAAAACGGAAAAGACTTGCACGTCTACGGTTGCGTCCATGAACCCCGAGAAAGGTCCAAGCGGCAGCTTTATCCAAATGGGAAAGAGCAGCAATGGAACCGTGCAGTGCAACATGTGTTGAAGCTTCGGTTTTAATATAAATGCAGTCTCAAGCGGCCAACCCGTTTTGAAAAGAGGTGTTCGCGATCTTGCGCAACGTTGCAGTAAAGGACGGATGCGCGCTGCGCTGGGTTGAGCGCCACATTGTGAGCACAACCAGCGCCCAATCTTTGCAACGGTTGCAAGATGTTGAGGCGATGGTTCTCGGCGTTAAGGCGAGAGCAGCATGTTCAACAGCAGCCGCCCTCCGTTCGTGAAGCCAGTGCAAATTTTGAAACGAATGTGGTCGGCGCCCCGGCGAGAGCGCCATGAAAAACAGCATCGCCTTCCATATCTGAAATTGCTTAGCCTTGCTGAACACGCCCACCTTCCATCAGTGAAGCCTGTATGGACTTTTTGAGACGGATCGTCGCGGCGCTACGAGAGCCACATTGTGAACACTACCCTGGTTCCATGTTCCCTATCTCCTAAGCTGGGGTTGTTGTTATTACTCAGACCACGCCCACTCCCACACCCTCCTCACCTCACCTCCTCCTGCTCCTCCTCTCCTCACTCAGCCTCATTCGTCATACTGTCACGCTTCGACTCATTCAAGCTCAGGCTGCTCGAACTCAGACTCACTCACATCCAGGCTGCTCATACTCAACATTACTCATGATCAGGCCCACTCATTCCCAGGCACAATGGTATCCCCACTCATCATAGTCAGACCCGTTCACACCTACACCCACTTGCGCTGATACTCTTTCATACCCTGACTCAGACTCACTCAGATTCAGACCCACCCACACGCACAGGGAGATTGCGAGGATGTTTGAGGCGGGGCGCTAGCTTCAGCACTCCCAGGGGGGGGGGGCGCATTCGTGCCCAGATTGTAGGGGTGTCTCAGGCAGTCGGTCCGCTTGCCTGCCCAGCACCTCTTGTCTTCGGAGCAATATGCGAGGATGTCTCAAGCGAGGCGCTGGTTTCAACACGCCCTGGGGTGGGTGCCAGGGCGAGGACATGTCTGGATTCCCGCCCAGATGGTGGGAATGCTCTAGGCAGTCTGCCCGTTTGTGTGCCCAGCATCTGTTTTAGTTTTTCGGAGTTGATTTTGAGGATGTCTCGGGCGAGGCGTTGGTTTCAGTACCCCAGAGGGGGGCGCCAGGGGTATGACACTAGCCCGTTCGCGCCAGTATTGTGGTGTTGTCTCAGGCGACTTGCCTGTTCGTGTGCCCAACATTTCTTGCTTTCGGAGCAGACTGCGAGGAAGTCCCAGGCGAGACAAGGGGGAGCCGCGAGGGTGTATGTCATGAGCCCATTCGCGCCTAGATTGTGGGGGCGTCTCAGACGGTTTGCCTGTTTGCGTGGCCAACATCCTCTGTTTCCGGAGGAGATTGTGAGGATGCCTCAGGCGAAGCGCTGGCTTCAGCACCCCAAGGGTGATTTGCAAGGGGGTATGACACAGGTCAGTTCGCGCCCAGGTTGTTTCATCCATCATTTTTGTTCGGAATGTATTGTATTTTCCAGATTCGCTCACGTTCAGACTCGCTTGCGCTCAGGCTCACGCACACCACACACTTACATATATTCACATTGCGATGGACTCGCACTCAATCTCGCTAGCCCTCAGATCTACTCATACGCAAACTCACGTGCACTCGGACCCTCTCATACTCAGAGTCAGACCTATTAGATTCGTATTCATATTCCATCACTTGCAGACTTACTCACGGTCAGAGCCACCACTGCTCAGAAACATTTGTTTATTTGAGGGAGTTTCTGTGGAACTCACGTCATCCTCACCCCCGGCGCGAAGAGCACGAGTCCAGAGCGGCCTCCGGCACCGTTTCCGGACAGATCCGGTGGATCCGCTGGATCCGCTGGATCCGGTGACGAATCCCAAACCGGCGCCCTCGCTTGAGACATCCTCACAAAACCGGCCCCGGGGGAGGTGCCCAGAGGAGCCCAGAGCGGCCTCCGGCACCGTTTCCGGACAGATCCGGTGGATCCGGTGGATCCGACGAATCCCAAACCGGCGCCCTCGCTTGAGACATCCTCACAAAACCGGCCCCGGGGGAGGTGCCCAGAGGAGCCCAGAGCGGCCTCCGGCACCGTTTCCGGACAGATCCGCTGGATCCGCTGGATCCGCTGGATCCGGTGACGAATCCCAAACCGGCGCCCTCGCTTGAGACATCCTCACAAAACCGGCCCCGGGGGAGGTGCCCAGAGGAGCCCAGAGCGGCCTCCGGCACCGTTTCCGGACAGATCCGGTGGATCCGGGATCCGCTGGATCCGCCGAATCTCCCAAACCGGCGCCCTCGCTTGAGACATCCTCACAAAACCGGCCCCGGGGGAGGTGCCCAGAGGAGCCCAGAGCGGCCTCCGGCACCGTTTCCGGACAGATCCGGTGGATCCGCTGGATCCGACGAATCCCAAACCGGCGCCCTCGCTTGAGACATCCTCACAAAACCGGCCCCGGGGGAGGTGCCCAGAGGAGCCCAGAGCGGCCTCCGGCACCGTTTCCGGACAGATCCGCTGGATCCGGTCCGGATCCGCTCCCAAACCGGCGCCCTCGCTTGAGACATCCTCACAAAACCGGCCCCGGGGGAGGTGCCCAGAGGAGCCCAGAGCGGCCTCCGGCACCGTTTCCGGACAGATCCGCTGGATCCGCTGGATCCGCTGGATCCGGTGACGAATCCCAAACCGGCGCCCTCGCTTGAGACATCCCCCGACCATCAACAACCTCATTTAAATGAGGATTCCTTACGAATCAACGGATTCATGTTGAATTGCGGGTGGTTTGCACAAGGATTAAAGGGATTCCCTCAAATACTACCCTTAAAACCAAGAAATACTTCAAAACGCATTGCGAAAAACCTTAAGACATAAGGTAATACCGTAAATTCACTGAACGATATGGTTTTAAGGGTTGTCCTCAAAACTAGTTGTGGGGCTCACTCATGCGAACAAGTGTTCACGAATGCTGACCGTCACGTCGAAATATCTTACTACGTGTGCCACTATAGAGCTTCTGATCTAGGAACAGAGGAAAAGCCAGCTCCACTGAAAAGATGCATTGGCGATGCCGTCCTGGTTATGTCCACTGTTGTTTGCCATTGCTGGTGCAGTCGCCATTGTTTATGTCTGGGTAGCAGCCATGCCCTCAATCATTCTTCCATCTCTCCTCGTTTCTCCTTTATTTAAGGCGGTGGCGGAGGAGCATCGATGATATATCATGCGTGGGTTTGCGCGTGTGTGCGTGTGCGTGTGCTTGCGTGCGCGTGTGTGTATCAGGAAGGAG